AGAGAGAACAATCTGAAACTTAGTTTCAAAGCACTTTATTGGTACACATGGATCACTTCATAGCCAAAGCAGAGAGGAATTATGTGCACTGACTAAATGTGTAATCTACTTTCACATGATGGTCTGGAGGACAGCTTTTTTCTTCAAACACTGTCCTCCTGGATACCCACCAGAAGGCAATCCTTGTGTTTGAACTTTTTTATTATGCAATGCCACTTCCACCACATACTCACAACTCTGATTAATTCCATTTTTCTGTGGGGTTAGTCTTGGACAATAAATATAATTTTTTTATTTTTTTATTAGTTTTTTAATTGTTTCACTTTATTAATTATACGGATGATCGAGGAGTCGATAATTACTAATAACTCAAATTAAAATCTACTGTCTAAGAATATACCCCCAAAAAAATTTGATACTAAAGTGTTATCCTTTTGTGTGGGGTTGGTTGTGTTGAAACTTGGGAACCCAACTCCACTCGTGTTGTCCACATTTGAAAAGTGCAGGGGGTCCTAACTTGCACAGTAGCATTTGATTATCATCTTGTGTGGGCTCTGATTTATGATTCCCATATTACAGCTATGAACCCACTTTTGCCCTGCCTAGCACACCTTTGTGGAAAAATCATAAGCTTGGTATATAAGTTGTCCATGGATCAAATTCAAATTGGATTTTGTCCTATTATAATCCAAATTCGATTTGAAAAAAATTGCAATTTAAATTCAATTTGATATCTGATTTAGAATTGCAAAATCAGATCGAATTTGAATAACTAGCTTGAGATGAATTTTAATAAATTATTAGGAGTAACTCGTACCTGAAGGCACGGTGCAATGTAAATGATTTTGAGAGGAATATTGGTGACATTGAATGAGTCTATTTGAAGCTGTTACATGAGCTTATTGATGTCTGTCCAGTTTTATATTATAGATGTTTAGATTTGAAATCTATTTCAACAAACGATTACATAATTTCATCCTATGTATATGATTCAAATCAAACTATAAATGGCCAAATAATGATAAATCTAAATTCGATGTAAAATACAATATAAAATATTCAAGTTTCGATCGGTGTTCAAAAATACCAAGTCAAATTGCTCGTCAAATTCAAATTTAGATTGAATTTAGATCAAAAGGTGATCCATTGAGAAACCAACTTGTGGGTGTTAAGACTCAAAAGTTATTGGAATAAAGGAAATGGGATGGTGTACGTTTGTCATACAAGAGCCTTGTGTGACAAAAACTTGGTAGAATTCTCATATCACAAGCAGCAGGCAAAGGAGTCGACTAGATTGATTTTCTTGTGAAAAAGTAGTGTGGACCCAATAGTTTTAGCAGAACCCTATTTAGATGTATGTGTAACAGTGCCAACCATAGCATTGGATCATGCCTTAAGATCTAAATAGTTGTCAAATTTGGCCAAAATTGGTTGGTTTGTCCACTTTGCAGACATGTTTGACCTTATGACAAGTTGCACAAGTTGTTAACTGACGAGTCATAAATATAAAAGTCTGTGAATTAGAATTTTTATAATTTCTTATAATTAGCTCGTGAATATTTTAGTTTCAATTTAGATGGTTTGTCTATGATTGGTCCAGAAAAGAGATTAGTCGAGATACGAATAAATTAGTCTGGACACCTCTGACCATTAAACCAAAAAAAAAGATAAGTGGTCTAAGTTGCTTATACCATGGGCAGAGATTTGTTATACGGTAATGTTACGCTGACCAAATTTTGGGACCAAATGACATGACAGTATATTATTTAGAGTCTTCATTTGTACTCTAAATTTAATCCTAAAATTTTGTCAGTATAACATTACTGTGTGTCATAATCACGGGGAATAGATATTATCGTCTTAAGCATTCGTTTATCGGACCAGGAAATTTTGGTTCTAATGGACTTTTGAACCTCCTTACATTGTTTTTTGGTTAACGGAGACTTATTTTAACATCGTGTTTTTTAGAATAATGATATTCGTTAATCACGCAAATCGGTCGAACCTAAATTGTGTATGACCAAGACTCAAACTTACAGATTTACTTGTTCAAAGGCTGAACCAACCCGTCTTGGTTAGTGATTTTATCCCTTGGACTGGTTTGAGTTCCAACCACAATTATTAAGCCACCGGCGGTCTTTGGCCGCTACTAAAGTTTTACGTGGGACTTGATTTTGATCCCATTCACCCCTAATATTCTGATGAACATTTTCAGTGAAGTTTTGTAGTAAGTGGGTGACTCTGACTATTAACCATTGACATCACTTAATCTGGAATGCTCTGTGGAAAGAATAGTCCATTTGTGATGCACAGAGGGGCCACCTTGTCCGGGTCAAGTTCTTGGCTTTACTGACCACCATGAACATACCTTCAACGTCATGATCATTGTGAGTGTATAAGGGGCCAAGTTGAAACTTCCTCCTACGATTCCTTGTGACCAGACACGGTATCTATGATAGTGAAGTGTAACTGTGTTAAGTCCTCAAAACACTTGGCCTCAGTTCATTGATGAGAAGGTGGAGGAAGATAATCTGTATTCTCAAATGTTCTTGTCAAAACTGTATTTTTTTGTTTAATACATTGCAAATTCAACTAGTCAGGGTAGTTGGGATGAGAACCCTGTAGCCATTATTATTACTTTAAGATCTTAAGTTCAATACCCAGAAGCCGCAAGACAGTATTACTTTAGACGTTTCTAATGTAAAATAGGTTGTATTAGATTATCATGTGAAAGTCGGAATGAAGCGGGCTCAGTACCATGTGATTTGGACCAGGCTAAAGATCAATACCTATTGCTTTGTCGCAAGCTCTTTTGTTTTTTAGTGAAATTTCGTTGTTTAGGCCTTGCAATTAAAGTTTTTTTTTTTTTGAAAACAATTTATAACAAATTCTACAAAACCCCAATTCTAGTGCAGTCAATTTTAATAAACTCTAGACGAAACATGTTTTTATTTTAATTAGTTAGATTGTAATTTTTTGTATTTTTTTAATTATGGTAAAATTAGAAATTTTACCTGGTAGTATCTCTTATTTTCTCTAAATTTGGATATGTACAAAGAAATGGTGGTTTTGCTTTTATTTTAATTACCCAAATTGTAATTTCTTTTATTTTGTAATTATGGTAAAATTATAAATTTTACTTGGTAGTTTCTCTTATTTTCTTTGAATTCGGGTCTGTACACATGGCATCATATTCTCCTATTTCTATATATTTTGGAGTGGAGAAGGAGGCTTAAACTCCTGCCCTTAAAAATATAACACTTTCACAAAATAAAGAATATCATTGGATCAAAAGTCCGTCGGTACTCTTGCCAACATAACCAGCAATGGCACAATATAATGTGATGGTAGCCATGGATAGACTTCTGAGAACTTATGGTAAACATTAAAATATCGCCATTGATCTATGATACGGTTGTGAAATTTTGGCATACTTGGTGCCAATTAAATCCAACAGTTTCCTTGAAATTTGCCAACACACTCTGACCCACATCTAATCTAGTCTTTAATATATTATTCGTCCTCTGATAAAGTTGATAAATAAAGTAATGTGAAACCTTGGGACAGTGAGCCTATCAATTGAAGTGTGAAAGCAAAGTTTTCTTGACATATATTACTGTAATCTGATCCAACCTGCGAGGATAGACTTTGATGGAGTGTTTGATAGGGTAGAAAACATGGTGGATGAAAAAGAGGGATAGGAAAATAGGATGGGAAGAGTGATTGATTTTCCATTGTTGAGGTCAAGTGGAAAATAACAAGTGGCAAAAAAGAGGGATAGGAAATTGAGGGTGAAAAAGGTACACATACAAAATAAACAAAACTAAGACTTTGTTATAGTTTTGTAATTCAAATTTATAGTTGCCAAACATAGCATGTGTTGTTAGTCGATGAATTTCACATTTAAATTTGTAGAACTGAGATTATTATTCTGAAAATGTAGAAGAATTTTGTGCTATCAATTCACAAATACGATAACGTTCTATAGAAGATTTGCTCGAAACTGTTCACTTTCGTTTGGTTATCTCTAATCATGAAATCTTTTTACTTGTTAAATTTGTGTGAAAGCATTAGGGAGTGTGTACAATCAAGTCCTTTGTAATTATAGTTTACACGCTAAGGGCTCGTTTGGTAACGTTTACGATTTTTTATTTTCTAAAAAATAAAAAATGACTTTTTCTCGTTTTTAAAAATCGTCTCTCGTTTACAAAACGATGACAGAAAAAAAAAAAAAAACGATTATCAAACGAGTTTTTTTTTTATTATTTTCTCTAAATATCAAAATAAAAACAAAAAACATAAATGTTACTAAACGGGACCTAAGAAATTATAATTTAATCTTAAAAAATTATGATTTTCTGCACGGTGGCAGAAGCGATGCCATAGGTAAGGTTCTTATGCTCCGGACTGTCCAGTTTCATGGTGGAATAGTATATCGTGACACCCAAACATTGCCAAATCAAGTCTCTTGTAATCGCGATTAGTCGCACCAACAGACCACGCCGTATTGACAAGCCTGATATGCTGACGCCATTCAAATCTTAAGTCGGCTTCGCTAGAGCCGAGCCGTATTACCTTTTCGGCTTTTCTACTTATCAAAACCAATCGCTTATAAGTTATAAGCATTCTATACTCTATTGCTATTGAACATAATTTATGAACATAATTTGAGAATATAATGAGTTGTCATTAATAATATAATAATGAATTCATTTAATGTTACAATGGAACCCATCATTAAATATATTTTATTATTATTTCATTAATAACAATTCATTATATTTTCAAATTATATCTTTAAATTATGTCCAAATAATATTATGCTCTCCAAAACGGTCTAAAATACTGGCAATAGCCGGTGCACGAACGTTGCATTTGAATGTGAATTTGGGTTCATTTCATTTGTCAAATTGCAGTATACCTAACCCCAGTCAGATTCTAACCCCAAACCTGACCCAAGTTGGTTTATTTAAAGAGAGAGAAAGCGTAGGTGGCCAGCTGGGTTGCGAACTGGTTCACTGATCTGCCCATTACCATCTCTCTCTCTCTCTCGATCTTTTTTCCTTCTGTAGATGACCAGTCATAGACCATTGTGCTCAAACTTTGAACTGATTGCATAATGATGTGGTTAGAAGAGTGTGTGTGTGTGGTATTGATTACTTCTCTACTGGGTTTTGGTGGTTTGGCTTGATTTTCTTGTGGGTTATTATTTTTTTTCTTTTTGATGGGTTCAGAGGGGGAAGAAGTGTTGAAAAAGGAGAAATATGAGGAACCTAAGAGAGAGAGATTGTGGTACAGTGACTCAATCTGCATACAAAAACACTCTGCATGTTGGTGCTCTTTTGGCCATGGCAGTTTTGCTTGCTTGTTTACCCACAAGTAAAAGAACTTGTGCTTAACACAACTTTGAGCTCACTAAATCTCTCACTAAAAACATCAACAAAAAGCAGGTAAAGGGTGTGGTCCGATCTAAATAGATCTGTTTAGAGTACTACTTTGCAATCAGTCATGAAGAGACTTGGCAGCTCTGATTCCTTGGGTGCTTTGATGTCCATCTGTCCAACCACAGGTGCTAACAATTTTTCCTTATTTGTTACACTTTTGATTGTTCATTTCCAAAGATTCAAACATACCCATACCATGTTTTCCTGTCCATCCCCTTTCATATAATCAATCACCTTGAAATTCATCAATAAAATTTCTTAAGTTAATAAGTTTTTTCCTGTTTTAGTAAACTTTTAATGCTTTATTTTTTGTTCTTTCTGGGTTCTCTCTCTCTCTCGTCCTAGTTTTGTTGGAGACAATTATGTGTTTTTGAATGTTCACTAACTCTGATATTCTTTTTCGTTTGAATTTTTTTTAGAAGAACACAGCCCAGGGCACAACCAAGTTTACCCAAGGCAGTTCCAGTCCATGTTGGAAGGCCTAGAGGAAGAAGACTGTGGTGAAGATTCAGGTCATATCGCGGAGAAGAAAAGGCGATTAAGCGTGGAGCAAGTGAAGGCATTAGAGAAAAATTTCGAAGTCGAAAACAAGCTTGAACCAGAGAGAAAAGTGAAGCTTGCTCAAGAACTTGGGCTGCAACCAAGGCAAGTAGCTGTTTGGTTCCAAAACCGCCGCGCTCGGTGGAAAACCAAGCAATTGGAGAGAGACTATGGTCTTCTCAAAGCCAGTTTTGAGGCACTCAAGCACAATTATGAGACACTTCAACATGACAATGAAGCTCTACTCAAAGAGGTAATGTTCAGATCAACCTTGTTACCAAAACAACGTATAATCTTTTTGAATAGTCGGTGGTTTAATACACTATCTGACCAAAAAACCTTCCTTCGAATCTCGTTCCTACCACAATATGTATAAGAATTACATGATCTAAAATTTTTCACGCACACGTGAGGAAACATATTGAAATACGTTAAATCATCATTTATTCTAGATATTTAAATTATTAGAGAAACTGTAACCGAAATATTTTACACTTTAACATGTCCCTTTCTTTGCAAATTAGACTTTGGATGCGAAAATCTTAAAACTGTCAGGGAGAGAGCAGGGAAAGTGGAACTTAGAAATTCTGACTCTAATACTATGTTAAAACACAATTAACTTATATTGTTTGAAGGGTATAACCTAATAAATATTTTGTTTCGACAAAATATATGTATGTTCATGTTCTACCCTCTTTCATAATTGTCTCAAGGAACCAAAACCTTGTAAGACAAGAGCGATTTAACACTAACACGGTAAGTTCTTTTACTTCCTTATGTAGATAGGAGAATTGAAATCAAAGCAACATGAGGAGAACTCAGAGAGCAATGCCTCCGTGAAAGAAGAAGCAATGTTGTCTGAAAACGAGGACAAAGTTGTGGAAGACACTAAGCCACCCACAAATTCTCTCTCTAAACGTGAAGCTGCTGAACTGAACTACAAGAGCTTCACCACCAACAACTATAACAACAATGGAGTAGTCGGAGACTCGTTGCTTCCAGATTTCAAAGATGGTTCTTCTGATAGCGACTCGAGCGCGATCCTGAACGAAGAAAATAATAGCCCAAATGCTGCCATTTCTTCATCTGGGGTTCTTCAGGGCCACCAGTTCTTGATCTCTAATGAATCTTCAATGCTGAAATTCAACTGTTCTTCGTCATCGTCGCCTTCATCGATGAATTGTTTCCACTTCTCAGAGGCAAAGTCGATTCTTGGGGATGATGCCCAGAAGGCGTATCTGCCACAGTTTGTGAAGATTGAGGAGCACAATTTTTTCGGTGGGGATGAGTCCTGTAATTTCTTCTCGGATGAACAAGCTCCAACTCTTCAATGGTACTGTCCCGATCACTGGACTTGAAGGTGAAAAATTAAAAAACCCAGATCAAAGAAGCTGAGAATAAGTAAGAGACGCAAAAGAAAAAAAAAACAGAAATCTATGGGGGCTACAAAAATTTTGTAAATCGAAAAGTGGACCACTAGAGTACATGCAATGAAATTTGCTTTCTCCATTGTACAAAGTCAAGTTGCAGATAAATGGGTCAGTGCAGAAGATGAGATAAAAGAGAGGAAAGAGAGTGATTCACGTGGAGGTGTGGTGGCAGTTGGACTCTGGGTTGGGCTATAAGCAATGGGGGAATGAATGATAAGGTAGTAATTAAGCTTTCAGTCTCTCTACTGTTAAAGAAGGAAAAGCTTTGAACTTGAATTAAGAATAGCTTATAGTAGTTGAAAGTGTTTACCCTTTGTGTCATTCTATTACTAGAAAGAGGTTAAAATGACTTTCAATGTGTATGTATAATTAGGGAATTTTTTCTACCAACTGTCGAATTTTCTTTTAAAAAAAATAATAATGTTATATTGATCAAAATTTAGAACTAAATTTTGAGTTCAAAACATGATAGTTGATTTGAATTTTTTTTATTGGTGTTATTTGATTGGTGTTATATCATTTGAGTTTTAAATTTGGTCTCAAATTTTGATCAACGTAACATTACTCAAAAAAAAAAAAAAGGACACGTAATGCATTGAAAAATTTTCTCTTTCCAATTGGATAGTTTGTAGTCTGAATTGCTGCATGGTATGTGGCAAATTGAATGCAATAGTAGTAGACTTTACATTTACCAAAAGGAGAGCAATGAAAGTTACAGAAAGATCTTTTGAATTACTAGTGTATATGCTGAAAAAACAGTAGGAAAAGCATACAATCAGTGGTAATCCAATTTTCAAGCGGTTTGTCATTTTATTTGCTGCTCTGCTATGAAGAAGGATTTCAGAGATTAAATTAACAATTGATGTATGTATGTAAGTTGTTGTTAGCAGTACCACAACCTCAGTCAATAAAAGGCCAAAAAGGAAAAGACAAATATACACATAAAAGACTTAAAGAGCTCCCTTAAAAAGCAGTGCCACATGAAAAGATCTCAAACACGTGTCTGTTGGGAGCCGCAGCTCTTTTGTAAATCCCATTGCACCTGTTATCTTATTTTGTGTTAAAGTTAGCACCCACAGGAGAGTCTACTTATTACTAACAATTACTGATTAAAAGTAGTACGTACAAGGGCTTCTCCTCCTATCCTATTAGTTAGCAGCATAATACCACTACTCACTGTCTGACAATGTTGATTTTAAAGATAGTGTAGATTCCATCAAGATTCTCTTCTCAATCAACTTTATATTTATACATATATATACTTTGATTCATATTATAACTAAAAAATTATTGAATTCTTTAGCAATTTGTATCAAACTATGACCAAGAAACATACAAATAAAAATCCACTATATCGTCTTTTTCTTCTGATATCACTCATGGAGGAGCTCGCATGCCTTCTCTCTCAAGTATTACGAGCGATATTGTCTTTGTGTGACAGATATGTTGTTCTAAGGTACGTCTTAATAAGATATCTTAAAAGAGCGAGGGATGTTATTTCAAAAATTATTCTTAACGAATATAGGAATAAATTTGGAAATATTTTTCATGATTTATAAAGATTACAAGAGATTCTTGTCGTCATTCTATTATTTCAAGAGGATTGTAGTACTATTAGTCTAATTTTTTGTTAAAATATTCAATCTAATCTTAAACATACACACAAATAGACCACCTCAAAAAAAGTCAGATGAAATTTATTCACTCAATGAATGATATTTGTTTGAATTATAATTAGGAATGACAATAGATCGGAAAAACATAGGTATTCGTTCAAACCCTTTCCGTTTAGACCGAGGATGGACCATAGGTATTAGACGATGAACGTATACGAGGACACCCATATAAATTCGTACGAAAAATAAAGGCGAAGATAAACTGACACTTACCCTCATCTTGTCCTTCCCCCGCCCCCCACTAACCCGTGATATATATAAGATCATAAATCCCAACCCCCCAGTCCCACCCACCTATAAAATTAAATTTGAAATTCAATAGCTCACTTTTTTTTTTGTTTAATAAGGTAAAATCTATTATCTTTATATATTTTTTATGACTTTTGTTAGATCTGTGATTTTTTTGTTAGATTTGTGATAAATTTTGTTAGATCTAAGGGTCTGTGTTTGTGTTACCTATTAAGTGTTTTTGTTTGGATCTATGGTTTGTTAGATACGAGATTTTTAGATGTTGTTTGATTTGATTTTTTTTTTTTTGTGTTAGATCTACAATTTTTATGCATTACATCTAATTTTATGTGTTAGATATGCAATATTATAAATTTTTAATTTTATGTTTCTTGAATATAGTCTTTGTTGAATTCTAATTATAGTGTTAAATATAATTTTTACTGATTTTTGAGTTTATTCTACTTAAATATGATTTTTGTTCTTTAAAAATTGGTGGATAGACTTTTTTGCTTGAAAAGTGCTAAAGTAAACTTTTTGCCAACTCAATATACCAAATGTTAATCCTTATTGATGAGAAGAGTTATGTGGTAATTTTTAGTTGGTGATATACAATTTTTTTAATTTTTTAGATTATTTACAATATTAGATTATGTTAGATTTGGATGTGGGCGGAAGTGAAGGAGAGGACGAAGCGAGGCGAAGATTATAAATTTACCAATGGATGAGGATAAAGATGAAATTATACCCATTAACAGAAATAAATTAAACATAAATTAAATTTTTTCAAATAAGTACAAGAACAGAGACTAAACTCGGCTCTCGTTTTGATCAACTGCCATCTCTAATTGTAATATTTTAGATTTTATTTGATACGTATAATATTATTTTTTATATTTATATGGCCATGCACTCTGGTTGAGCCCACTAAACTACTGGACCTTAGCCCTCCGCCGTCAGATCTATATATAAATTAGACCAAGTTTGATCAGCTTGTCAATGGTGATGGAATGCAGTGTTGGTTTGTGAAGAGAAAGAGGATTCCAATTTGCCCTTTTTTTCGAATTTGCCCCTATGGAGTAGTTGGTATAGCCGTATAGTATGGTCCCTTTCACATAGAGTGGGTCCCATCCTATTATGTAAATGGGAGGGTAGTGGAGTGGGGGCATGTGCTGTGGGTCCCTTGATGGATCAATCAAGTCGTCATCACCACGGTCACATCACACAGATTAAAAAATGGAAAAAGTTTGGAGGAAAAAGATGGGAATGTGTAGAGTTCCTTGTAAACACACACTGATTGGTGACAGCTTATCTACCACCTATATAAAATTCCCAATATTCATATAGCAATGACTTCCATTCCCATTGGCCAGATCACAAGGTAGAGTATGGTACATACATGAAATTAAAAATAATGAGTTGAATTTATGTAAAAATTAAAATAATTTATTTAATATTATCATGAATAACTCAATTTTTGCATCACAAATTTATTTAATTGATATTATATAAAAGATATAGAAGTTTTTAAAACAATTTAGCTAATTTACTGCAATATAATGAGGTAAAATTTTGATTTATAAAAGATATTTACGACGTGTATTGTATAAAAAAGTAAAGAGTTCTTAGTTTTTGAATTGTCGATCCCCAGGTTATATATATTGTTCTGATTATATGAGTATGATAAAAATATTGAATAATACAATCTATAAATGACACGATTCGAAAATACTACGTTTGATTGGGTTTACAGCCTTAATTCTAATGCAGCAAAATTCAGTGGTTGGGCTGCATAGAATCCCATTGCTGACTCAATTTATTAGCAATGCTCTCCGCATTGGCTTATTTGAATAATCCCTACCTCCACTTTGTGTGATTAGCTTAAAAAGTGTCTACTTTTATTAACTTTGGGTTAAATTTCTGATTTGTTTATAGTGATGATTTTGATCACTTTGTTCTATTTTATTCGAATACGAATATCCCCCATGCAGCTACCATATAAGGTGGCATGCTACACTTTGTTCACTCAATGCCTACACCTTGTTTGGGCATCTTATAGTATACCAAAAGCACCTCAGTTTTGGTCTATTGCTTTTGGCTGTGCGTTTTCTTTTTGTCTTTTTTTCATTTTGATGGGAATGGGTATATATCTCGTACGTCATGCATGTCACAAATAATAATACATGTACATGCATGTTGAAATATTTTACCTCTTTTTTGAACTAGAAAAAGAGGATTAACTCTTTCGGATGATTTTGGCGTTGTCCAATTCTCTCTCAATGGTCATGACCGTCTCGATCATTGAGTTTAAGTTTTGTAGACGATGACCCACAATCTTTTCCTGAATGGATAATTTCAACTTATCCTCGAACCTCCTCACTTTGGCTAAGTTTGTGGCCACATAATTGTCGTTGAAATAAACTAACTCAGTGAACTTAGCCACTAAATAAGTTAATCTGAATCCAATGAAAATAATTGATTCTTGAACAGGTCCCGTACCCGAGGTTAAGTTTAGGAAAAAACATATTTCAAAAAATACCTACGCTAAAATCTTGGATTTTCAAAATCCATTATAAGTTAATGAAATTGGGTTGATCTGTATTTTCATCGAAGTTGTATTACTCTAAAATCAAACCCAAATTAAATGAGGGCTCAAATGATTATGTTAATGTCTGTAACTACTAGCATGATGCAGTCGGTTTGGTGGAGGATTTTTCTATAAATTAAGAAGCAAAATCATGTCGAAGTGAGTGCATGGGTATCCAAATTAAGATATGCTCTATTACTACCTATCTCAGCACTTGTCTGTCTCTAAGCACAAGAGAACGGCGGTCCCTATAATCTATTGTAATTTTTAATTCTATTTTTTTTATTGTTTAGAAGATTGAGATCTCCTTAGGGAATTTTTATAGCAGTAAAATATTCATTCAGAAGGCAGAGAGAGAGAGAGAGAGAGTCCATGTGAGAGTTGTTCGAGCCAAATGTAAGACAAGAGCAACAATCTCACATGGTATATGTAAAAGAACAACATTAGATTTACTGGAATAAATTGCTCTGAACTTGAAAATTTATAAGTAACTACCCATCTCAGTAGACCCGAGCCTATACAAGCAGTGCTACTGATACATTCACTGTCACTCGAATGTTCAAGCTATGATACATATATCTGATAAGTGTGTCCCTATCCTATCTTATGAGACTTGATCCAACACCACTTGTAGCGAGACTAGTACTTGTTCACTTTAATGTCACACTAATCTTTACGTTATGATTTATCAATATGATAAATGTGAAAAGAAATCAATGCCTCCTGCATATAGTCCACATAAAACTAAGATATGACAAACAGATTTTCTAATCGGCGTTGTCAGTTTCATGGTCCCATTTGAAAAGGAGGGGCCGAGTTGGCTGCTAACCCTGGTAAGAATCTTCTCAAGTAGGAAGCTTTTTCTTAAAAATGACTTCCACTGTTTTCTTTCGTTGAGGCTCCCTATGGCATATCGAACACTGCTTTTGCTAGCTGG